TCTAGTACTTTATGTAATTTCTTATTTATTTGTAGTACATTATGTAATTTCTTATTTATTTTTAGTACTTTATTTAAACACACCAAATAAAATTACATAAACACACCAAAATAAAATTACATAAACACACCAAATAAAATTACATAAACTCACCAAATAATCTTAAAAAAAAGCACCAAATAAAATTACATAAACTCACCCAAATAAAACTTAAAAAAACACACCAAATAAACTAAGAACTTTAATTCTTCGACCACAAATTCCTTTTAAGTTTCTTTGTCACATTCTGGCCCGAGCCCCCACCACATCCCGGGCTCGACTTCATTGTAACATGATATTGTTCACTTTGGGCCCCGACCATGCCCTCACGATTTTGTTTCTGGGAACTCATACGAGAACTTCCCAGTGCGTCACCCATCTTAGGACCGCTCTCACCCGAACTCGCTTAACTTCGGAGTTCCGATGGAACCCAAAGTCAGTGAGTTCCCAAAAAGCCTCGTGCTAAGTAGAGATGAGAATATACATATAAGGCTTACAGGATCCACTCCCCTAGGCGATGTGGGATGTTACAATCCACCCCCCCTTAGGGGCCTGACATCTTTGTCAGCACACTCGCACCACACGGCAAAGTGGCTTTGATACCAAATTGTCACATCCTAGCCCGAGCCCTCACCAAATCCTAGGCTCGACTCCACTGTAGCACGATATTGTCCGCTTTGGACCCTGATCACATCCTCACGGTTTTGTTTCTAGGAACTTATACGAGAACTTCCTAGTGGGTCACCCATTTTAGGACTGCTTTCGCTCTAACATGCATAACTTCGGAGTTTCGATGGAACCCGAAGTTAGTGAGTTCCCAAAAGGCCTCATGCTAGGTAGAGATAGGAATATACATATAAGGCTTATAGGATCCACTCCCCTGGGCGATGTGGGATGTTACAATCCACCCCCTTTAGGGGCTCGACGTCCTTATTGGCACACTCGCACCACACGGCAGAATGGCTCTGATACCAAATTGTCACATCTCGGCCTGGGCCTCCACCACATCCCAGGCTCGACTCCACTGTAGCATGATATTGTCCGCTTTGGGCCCCGACCACGTTCTCACAGTTTTGTTTATAGGAACTCATACGAGAACTTCCCAGTGGGTTACCCATCCTAAGACTGCTCTCGCCTGAACTCGCTTAACTTCGGAGTTCCAATAGAACCCGAAGTCAATGAGTTCCCAAAAGGCCTTGTGTTAGGTAGAGATGAGAATATATATATAAAGCTTACATGATACACTCCCTTGGACGATGTGGGATGTTACATTCTTCACCTTGTTTCAATCCCACAAGTGTTCAATCAAGTCACTTTGACGGCTTAAGTGCATGTATGGTCATTGCATTGAAGTGTATCGATCAATGATCAATTGATCGTAACACCCATCCTTTTCCAATGGCTTGTGTTGCACGAGATCCTTAGTGTGGTCATGAGCACAATATATACGTGTTATGGAATTGTTCATCGCGTCTAGCTCGTATTCATTGATGGCATCATAATCATACTTATCTTCCACAATCTTGTTGTGGAGAATGATACACATCATCATGATGGATCAAAGAGCCTCGACATCAAACAATCTAGCAACAACCCTGATAATTGCCCAACGAGCTTGTAGGATACCAAAACAACGCTCCACATCCTTCCTACACCTCTCTTGACATCTTGCAAAGTGTTTTTCCTTTTCACTTTGTTGATGTGGCACTGTTTTGATAAATGTTGTCTACCTTGGGTAAATGCCATCTGCTAGGTGGTATGCTCCTTGGTATTTATGTCCATTGACCCAATATGTGACTTTCGGTGCTTTTCCTTGCATCATCTCGTTGAACACTAGAGATTGGGCAAGGACATTGAGGTCATTTTGAGCTTCTGGAACACTAAAAAAAACATGTCAAATCTATGTATCAAATGACGCCACTGCTTCCAGAATGATACTTTTGGCTTATTTTCTGTCACCATAAGCTTCTTGTGACACACTTGGACAGTTTTTCCATGTGCAGCGCATACAGTCGATGCTTCCAATCATACCAGGAAAGTCTCGCATCTCACCCTTCTTCAAAAGCTTTTGTATGTCCATTGTTATGGGTTTTCGAAGGTACTCATTACTGTAGAGGGCTTCGATTGCGAAGCAAAACCTCATCAGGGACTCTAGAATATTTGATTTCCTTATCCTCGCTATCTCATCCACTTGATCTGCAGATGCTCCATATGTAAGCATCTGCAAGGTAGCAATAATGTTTTGCTTAGGAATAAGACCTAGAACATGAAAAACATCCTTTTTTTGCACAAAGTATGGATCATGGTTGCAAACAGCAATCATGATTTTGTTGAATAAACTTCGTTGCACTCTAAAACATCCAAAAATATGATCAAGGAATAAACAGTTGGGGATAAAATAATCTTCCAAGGGATCTTTACCTCGTCTTTCCCTATTTCTATGCAAGTTTGAGGCACATCTGAGTTTGGAGATCTGACCCACACTTGCATGACACGACGGGAATGTGAGGTTCTCTGCTTTCTATGTTCATCATCCTCGTCCTCTTCCATTACGAACGCCTCATCTTCACCATCCTTGAGATTGAACAATTTTTCCTGTTCTGCCAACAATTTTTTTTGTTGCTCATCAATTTCATACAATCTCCTTGAAGAAGACATTGTAAGAACTCAAAATTTAAAAACAATGAAGAAGGATTCTGAGTTAGTTTGAGTTTGGTGTATGAATTAGGATGGATGTAGGGTTTATATGGACAAAAGAAAAGGATGAGGTTGTGGATAATGCCCCGTGACACTACATGATTGGTTGAAAATCTTATCAAAATCTATTCTAAAGGATTGTAAACAGATAGTGACATGTGGCGAGTCAAGATTGGTTCAAAATCTTATCGGAAATCTATCCACAAAATAATACTTTCGGATAATGACATGTAGTGTGACAAGATTGGTTAAAAATCCTATTCGAAATTAAAAATAAAAATATATATTTTTTATTTTATAAAAAATTTAATAATATTTTAATACAAATTGACTAGATTTTGGGCCAGCGCATTTTTTAGAATAGAGATGCATTTGGCCAATTACTGTTCATTTGAGTAAATTATTATTTATTTGAGTGGATTAAATGAGCTGGGTGTCAGCGTATTTTTTAAAGATGGAATTGCTCTAAGGAGTTGGGGCCGAACATCCATAAAAATACAACAAATTTATAATGCATATGTCAAAATGGCCCTTTAGCTCATTCTGTAAAAACTCCATATCAAGACAAATTCTTTAATAAGGAGTTTAGGGACTTGTTAACCCAGAGCCCTTTTTTTTTCAACAATCCATTAAAAAAATGTAACAGAAGCCCATGTCCAATAGTGGGCTTGGGACAGGTGAAATGCCCAAGCACACATCTGCGATAAGTTTAGAGGAAAACTCGTGCTCGGCATAACATTTTAAACATGTGTTGTTGAGTAGCTTCAGACGTATGCTAAGCTTCTCCACTGCCTCAAAGATTTATTGACCACTACCTCAGATCGGAGAGATTTTTCAATGTGAATGTCACACGAAATGGTACACCGCGTGTTTCCATGTAAATGGTAGGATATGTGTGTTAAAAGGTTAATAACTTAAAAATTAAAAATTTCCACCGTTTATATAAAAATACGTGATATATCATTCGTGTTCTTATCACAACTAAAAATTTCTCCTCAGATCATGAGAGGGTACATAGGGTGACACCATGACTTAGGCAAAGGGGACTCGTTAGCAAATGAACAAGCCACTATATAAAGGAAGAGGAAAATCTAGAAAAGGAGGTTTAAGAAAACAATTGAAGAAGATACATTAAGAAATAGTTTATGATAGACCATCATTACCCAGATCACGCATTTAAACCCCTAAAAAACCACGGTTGAAACACCTTACCAGATTTTGGCATTAACATTTATATGATAAGGATTCGACATGAAGACAAAGCGTTGACTATCGACTACCTGATATATTTCCCCTCCTCTTTTATATGAACTTGGAACTAGCATCGTAAGATAAATTTACATTGACGGAGTTCCCCTACACATCAAACATCGTCTAAGAACAGTTATACATGTTTTAATTGTAGTGGTAGAAATTGAACTGATTCTACTTGCCAAGCTTCAAATTCACCTAGCTTTCAACTTTTAACTCTTACCTACACCCAACGACTTTGACCACAATCAAATCAAAACTCAAAAGCTCCATTATTTTTTTCTTTTAATTCCGCACATGCTGCAATAATGATGGATGCCAACGGAGCTTACTTTAAAAGTACAACAAATTGAAGCGAAAGAAACATCTAAACCGAAAAAACAAAACCAAAAAATATAGCTTAACTTACCAGCACCCATCCGCTAAAGTTAACCATCTCATTTGTCACCGACTTTTCACTTCCCATTTTCCACCCAACCCCGGCGTCTCGTTGGTCCGTCACCATTGGCCGAGCGTCGGTCGGTGACAGCTCCCCAGCGAACAAAGACCGTGTTTGTGTAAAATGAAAGCAAAAAAAAAAAAAAAAAAATCATTAATTATTAGAAAATACATTTCCAGAGAGAGAGAGAGAGAGAGACGAGAGAGTTAAACAAGCCGCTCCTTCTTTCGTTAAACATTCCCCGCAGAATTCATCTTCTCTGTCCGTTGCATTTTCCTCGCATCTCTGGGAAATTCGAATTCCCATTGAAGCACCAAAACGAGGATTCCGGAATTCGAATTCTCGCCTTCTCCACTTCTCAAATCCCTTCTGTATTTTCAATCGGTTTCTGAGAGTGGTGGGAATTGCTGTGCTTCTGCGAGTGTGGATCGACCCAATTGAAGCCTCAGATCAATGCTCTGTTTGGAGGTGATTTAGCTCCCGTCATTGCTGCAATTCGGTTAGTAACGCTCGAATTGTCCCTTTTTTTAGCCCAAGTTTTGGCTGAGGATTCAGCAAGATCTGAACTCTGTCTGCGTTTGTATTCTTTCTGTTGTTATTTGATTCGATTTAGAGTTACTGTGAGGATTTTTAGCTGGTTTTGTGGTCTCTGTGTGATTCTGGTTGTTGTAAGGGCAAGATCTGGTTGAATTATACTGATTTGTGAGTGATAAATGAGTTTGAGGTGTTTGATCGAATTGAGCTGCCATTTGCCTTCCGTTTGGTTGCAAAGGAAGTGTATTGGAAAAAGAAATGAAGCTGAAAATATAAAGACGGTTTGGTAATGTGGTCTTATTGGGGATTGGAAGGCCTTGTTGATTTGGTAGGTCTGAACTCTGAAGTATGGATTTTTTATCCTGTCGTGCGTAGTTTGTTATCAATGGTTATGTTGCAATTAGGCCTATACCAAAAATTCACGAAGAATGCTTATTAATTTTTAAGAGGGTATGATATTATGAGATGTAGTGTTAAATTATGGATAAATTATGGATTTTTTCTATGTTTTTTGTAGTTTTTGATCGTTGTGTAGAGTGCGGACTAGGGAAAACTAATGAAGAACGGGATGATAGAATGTAGTGTATGCCATTCAAAGATTGTTGCCCCGAACTCTAAAGCTTTCTCCAGGGCCTATGACCGCCACAAGAACAGGTTATCATCCAAGCAACGTGTTCTCAATGTACTCTTGGTCGTTGGTGATTGTATGCTTGTCGGTTTACAGGTTTGTTTTCATATTTGATCGTGTTTTTCTTATCTTTCATGGGAATCAAATGATTGATTGCACGGAGAACTACTCAACTTCAAGTAGAGAAGTTTATAAGAAATGATATATGAAATCTCTAATTTTTAGAAACGTATTTGATAATTCAGCTTTCCAATATTTCTACATGACTGAACATGTTTGAGCATGTTTTTGCAACTATGAAGGTTGCTAACAATGTAATTGTTGTCAGCCTATAATATCTGCTGTCAACCCTCAAACTAGCACAAAACCACCCCTACCATCCTCATTCCCGTAGCTTCCACGTTATTACAAATGATTACATTGCCATCCATCTTTATTTTCATCACTATTACATTAATGGCTCCAGTAATTTTGTTGAATTTTATCTCCTGATTCAACATATATGTTTAATTTTCTTGTTTTGGACCATGAAGATGATTACCATACATGTTAGGAAGCATATTAAAAATGAAATCAAATTGATCATTCATATTGCAGATATAGTCGCACTAACAACTGTTTCAAACAGTCCCTTAGGAAATCTATTATTGCTTGTGAAAACTTGATATGAGTTTATGAAGTAAGCTGCAAACTGTTGCTATAAATTTTGTGGACAGTTCTTCATCCCAATTTCATTATTACCTGACATGCTTACTTTTTTGTATTTTTGCTATCAGCCTATCCTGGTTTATATGTCCAAGGTCGATGGAAAATTCGAGTTTAGCCCGATTAGTGTAAACTTTTTAACAGAGGCAGCAAAGGTTCTATTTGCTGTCGTTATGCTATTGTTGCAGGTATGTCAACAGCTTCCTTTTCTCTCCCTTACTTAAATTTGTACGAAATCGTCATGCCATTTGATATTGTTATGCCCTGGTGCTGTTAAGTTCCAGCACCTGGAATAAGGTTCCATATGAAGTTTACTCAAAATTTTGACATGTCTTGTCAATGGCATCAACTCTTGTATTGTATGCTGAGGTTCTGAGATGAGGCTAGAAAATACCTTAGTGCCATGTGAGGTGCACTTGGGTGAGCACCCATTTATGCGTTGGTGATAACTTAGGAGCTCCCACCTATTGAAGATAATAGAATTAATTATGCCAAAAGGAAAAACTTGCTTGTGCGTTGTTTGCACGTTGCTTATGGAGAAGAGAGATGTCTGATGGTCATAACTCTCACATTCTAGATTATATTAGTTGACTTTTGCAAAGTACTAATTATTTCATTTCCTGATGGACTTAGTTTTCTTTTGTTCTTATTGACATCTTGGTTGAATTCTGCAGGCTAGGAATCAGAAAGTTGGGGAGAAGCCTCTTCTCTCAATTTCTACATTCATGCAGGTTGTCTTTTCACTGCGTGACAATCGTTAATTTTTTAAGCTCTTGTTTCATAATGTTTGTCTGTTCGTGATATTGTAACAGATGGAATTTGGGCACTCCCTTAGTTTGTTCTGCATGATCTGTTATTAGGAAACTGTATCTTCTCCTTTTACACTGCAGTCTGTTTTCTTCATTAAATAATTTCTTGGCATCCATGTTTGAACTATCTTGCTTAGCTCGTAAGCTTGCTCATATTTGAAGTTTATATGAAAGCCAACACGGTAATTTGTGATCCAACAATATTTGTTTTTCTCCTTTGCAGGCAGCTCGCAATAATGTGCTTCTTGCTGTTCCAGCATTTCTCTATGCTATTAATAACTATTTAAAGTTCACCATGCAGGTATAGTTATTTCATAGATCCTCTTAGCATGCATCTATGTGTTGTGGTGGCGTATATGGTTAACTTTCCAAATTTTAGCATGAGTGATGGACTTGTGCTATACCCTATATAGTCAAATTTTGGATATAACCAAGATGTTTAGCTCTAAGGGTTCTCCCCCATGTTTGAAGCCCTTTGAAATGGGTGTAGAGTATCTTGCAGGTCTACTTAGAAGTAGTATTTGCAGTGTTTGGCTAAAGAGGAATGATCTCACAAAACAAAGACAGTAAAAAATGGAGACATTTTGGTTAGAGATATGTTGTCATGCACCAAACTTCAAATGCAACATGATATGGTCATACCACAACTGCTTAGTTCCGAGCAGTTTTATTGAATAGTATGGGCTAACAGAATTGGCCATTCCTTAGGCTTCATGTAGTATTGGGTCATCCAAAGTTTATCCTGGTCTCCATTGGAGGTTACCCATTCATTGAATTTAGAGAGTTCTTTTACTTAATTATAGTCCATAAATAATTAAGTTTTTTTTTTTGCAGCTATATTTTAATCCTGCAACTGTGAAGATGCTGAGCAATTTGAAGGTAACAGTATTATTATCGGTATCTTAGTGATGCTAATGACAATTTCATGAATTGATAGGAGCATCAGTGTTATCTGGAATCTCAATAAACAACTAATGTGATTACTCAGTACAAGCATACTTTAAATAACAAACAAGCTTCATATCATAATAGACGCGTGTATCTTCAATGCATGAAGATGGAATGCGCACATTGGCTTAAAACGCATGTTTTGAAAAATTTTCTAGATAAACCAGGGGACCTTATCATAATTATAAAAACCCCTGGAAGGGAAGATTCCCTGAACTCTTGAAGTCCAAAATTACAGGCCAGAAGCATTTTCAATCCCAAAGTTCATGCATACCCACCTCTAAATACTGAAGAATCTTTCTATTTCACCTGACCCCAAAAACTGACAATGCCCAACAATCCGAAAGAATTTTTTAGTTTCTTGTTTAATTGTTTCTGATTTGTATCTGACCCCTTTTGGATTTTAACAAAAGGGATCCCTCTCAATAAAATAAGTATCTCTCTCTCTCTCTCTCTCTCTCTCTTACAACATACGCACACATCGTATAAAAGTATATCACAGAATAATCTGCACCCCTGTTGTTGCTTCCACAGAAGTAGCTTGGGATGCATTTTTGCATCCAGCATGAAGAGATCAAGGATTATTATATCGATGTTAGTGAATGTATTGGTAGCCCAATTTATGGATATATTGATAAATATATCGTAGTCAGTAGATATATCGACAATAAATTAAAAAATGGCGAATAGGTTCTTTAAAACATGAGAACTTTGAATAAACTTTAGGAAGTGTTGTGACAAATGACAATGCATACATTAGGCATGCATTTGGATTTCTTTTTTTTGGTTAACAAGAATTGTATTACTTATATATAGCTAGCATTATAGTCTAGTGATATTTTTGTTCATTTATAAGTTGAATGTATTAAGTTCGACTCGAATGACAAGTTTAATACCTAATGTTGACCTAACACTAATGAATTAAGTGCTTTTAAACTTCCTTTTCTTTCTTCATTCCTTTAAATGCCAACACCCCAGTAACCAGTCCAATGACTAGCTGAGAAGTTTGAGGGTCTTCCACTCTTTGAGTTGCGTGATCCCAATCCCAATTCATAAGGAAAACTAGCAGAAACATTCATTAAAGCTTTGAAAACAGTGGTTAGAGTGAGAAGGAAAAACAAGAACAACAACAACAAAGCCCTATCCCACTAAGTAGAGTTGGTTGTATAAATCCGAGAATTACGCTTGGTTTTGTGTCAATTCTTCCGTGAGCTCCAAGTACTCCAAAGTACCCCATGTCTTTTTCTAAAGTCTCTTTCTAAGTCTTCCTAGGTCTTCCTTTACCCCTTTTTCCCTTAGCCTTTATCATAATCGCAATTTTCTAACCGAAGCATGTGTAGGTCTTCGTTTCACATGTCCAAACCACTTTAACCGATTTTCTTTCATGTCATCTTCAATTATGGCCACTCATATGTTATGTCGGATATCCTCGTTCTTAATCCTGTCCTTTCTCATGTGGCCACACATCCAACGAAGCATTCTCATATCCGCTACACATATTTTTGCACGTGTTGATGCTTGGCCGGCTAACATTCTGTGTTATAAAGCATTGTTAGCCTTATTGCGGTCCTATAGAAACTTTAGTAGCATACAACGGTCGCACAACACACCCGATGCACTCTTCCACTTTATCCATCTAGCTTTTATTCTAGGGAACTTTAACAAAAAGCTCCCGGTACTATTCACTTTAATGAAAAACCATATTTTTACACTAAAAAGTCAATCCTGGTACTATTTACTTTACCATTTATTTTGTCCTTATCGTTAAAACTCAAAGTTTTCAAGCCCTTTTCATTAGTTTTCCTTTTATTCTATGCTTGAGATCTCCAATTAAAATATTCGTTCTTTGCCAGGACATATCCAAGATAACGAAAATGTTCACTCATTTGTAGTTCTTGATCTCCAATCCTCACCCCTTTCTCATTTGGACCCCATTCCCATTGAACCTGCACTCCGTATACTTTGTCTTTGACCTACTTAGGCGAAGACCTTTAGATTCCAACACTTCTTGCCAAAGGTTAAGTGCTCCCTCCTGCGTTTCATCTATCAACATTATATCATCTGTGAAAAGCATACACCAAGGGCTGTCATCTGCGAGAAACATACACAAAGGGATATCATCTGTGAAAAGCACGCGCCAAGGAGTGAGAAGAAAATCACTGAAAAAGAGTCGATCTCTCTTGAAACTATCCGATATCCACCCAAATTTCTCAAAAATCTTCCAATTGTGACCAGTTATACACCAAATAACGAAATTGAGTCAATATTTCCAATTTACAGAAATTTTGGAGATTTTTGGCGAAACTATGGACGTATATTGCCTTACATCCGTATTGATTGTTGGTAAGCCAATTTTGCCGAAATATTGGCGATATTTGGGTGATATCGGCGATTTTTCAATCTCAGGAAAAGATAAGCTAACAAGGCCTTGTTTTGTTCACATAGTTTCACCTGTAGAAATCCTGCAGGTCTCCTTTTAAGGAGTTAGATATGTCATTGTTTTACTTCAACAAGTTTGACTGTGGACATGTAGGTGTTGGTGATTGCTGTTTTGTTGAAAATGATAATGAAGCGCCGATTTTCAATAATTCAGGTTAGTACCTTTCCATTTTTTAATCTCTCCAGTCAAGAACAAGAAAACATTTTCTTTTACTCCAGCTTTTCTGTTCTTTTCCTGTTTCTACAAACGGGGAGTAGTCAGTTATAGAACTTTGGATGATCTTATTTGAACACATTCCTGTGGGTGCTATGATTGCTATATCTTATCAAACTGATAATACTTTGATACAGTGGGAAGCCCTTGCTTTGTTGCTCATTGGAATTAGTGTAAATCAATTGCGATCTTTACCCGAGGGTTCCACTGCTTTAGGTCTTCCAGTTTCGACGGGCGCATACATCTACACATTGATCTTTGTAAGTGATTAATGATAATTGTTGTTTCTAGTGGTGATGTCCTGTTTAACAGGCACCTTTAGGTGCATAACTCCTTTTACTGGCTTGAATAAAGTATTCTTCGAAATTATGTTCCAAGACATTTATATGCATGTTGGAGACTTATCTCAGATTCATCTTACAGGTAACAGTTCCATCATTGGCCTCTGTTTATAATGAGTATGCTCTGAAGAGCCAATATGACACAAGCATATACCTCCAGGTGAGTTTAGGACTTTTATGACTTGTTTTTATGCCGAGGCATGAAAGTAAGTGGGGTTATTATTATTCTAGGATGTTGAGGAATTGATTTTTCTAGAGGTAGCAAATAGCCATTTGCTTCGATACCTGTAATTTGTGTCAATACTTACCGGAGTTGGCCCAATCTATCATCAACATGGATCTTGTTTACTCGTGTTGCGAATTTTATTTTTGGTGGAGCTTCCTGTTCTGTTTCTTTAAAATTATCCTAGTGATATATGGATAGGGTTGTATTTGGGATGGAATTTGAAAATGATGAGCATGCTATAGTCTCTTGGTACTTAGGTATCCCATATAGTTGAAATGTTGCCAAGAGTTCTCTCGATTTTTGGGTGTATAAGGAAAATAAACAGTTTGCCTCAAATTTTCAGTATTTCACTGATGTTGAAGCTTAGTACATGCGACAACATATCGCCGAGATGTCAGCAACAAGGTGGAAGGATATGCCTTTACCCTTAAACACTGAATATTTTTAATTATTGATTATTTTGCTTTGTTAGATGTCTAGCTTCATCTGTGACCAATTTGCTTCTGAACCTAGAGTTTCTTAAACCATATCTTAGCAACTCGTGTTTCATTGTATATCCTATGTTAAATTTAAGTATGGACAGTTATTGAAGAATGATAAATATAAGTCGACAATTTATCGTCTTCATCTTAAGTCTTCTTCTTTTGGCTTTGCAGAACTTATTCTTATATGGGTATGGTGCTATATTCAACTTTCTAGGAATATTGGTAATGGCCATTGTCAAAGGTATGAACAACACTATGTTTATTATTTTTGCAGTGAAATATATTATTTAGTTTTCTTGATAAATAAAAACATTCTAAACGAAATTCCCACATACAGAAGTAGTACACAGCAATTAGAGACCACAAAGTGTTATGTCACGGGCTCCATAAGTGTTCACTACTAAGGCTGCCGTGCATTGATATTGTCCTCACTTAACCATCTAGGCCCAATCCCCTGGGTGGTATCAAGACCAATGGACCTCAAGTGTGGGGTTTTATCTCAAAAGGCCTTGGTGCAACTAGAAGCGGAACACCTACCTTAGATTATTGTTGTACTCCGATGTGGGATTTTCTTCACATCCATCTTGGCTTGTATTGAGCCAACCTTTTTCACCCTCACAAGGCACATATAAAATCCAAATGCAGTGAAAGGAAGTTTCATTAATGCGCGCAGAATATCACCTTATTTTATCTTCAGCTATTTAAGATGCCTCCAATAGTTGATTTGTTTGCTTTTCTATTTAACCACGTGCTTAAGGAAAAAAATGGGTTTATTTGCAAAATTTCTTTATTAGTTTGTTTCAAAAATTTGGCATGTCATCCAGAGATTTGCCGTTCTATTCTCTTCATATCCTTAGTGATATTTACCAATCAAAATGGTTTTGGATAGAATTATTGTCCTATATAGTTGATTGATATAGGAGGGTCCAATTTACAAATAAGAACTTCATTGTGCTTTTTCACAGTGCTATTCTGTTAAGGAAATTTATGAAATTTTGAAATAGGTGTTTTGAGTTGTAACCTCATGTTGTTTGAATGTTTCAGGACCAAGTAGCTTTGATATCCTTCATGGTCATTCAAGAGCTACAATGTTTCTGATAGCTAACAATGCAGCACAAGGAATTCTGTCTTCTTTTTTCTTCAAATATGCAGGTTAGTTTTCTGCAATAGCCTCTTCAGGTTTACATGTCATGCCAATTTGGTATGGAAGTGCTTGCTGTATTATGGAGATTACTCCTAAGTACACTTTAATGAGCGAGATTCTGTATTCAGCTTATGATTTCATCACCTGTGGCACGTTTTTGTTAAATTTCATTTTCTTGTCACTCATTAATCGAAGGATGCCATTCAATGTTTTCAGATACAATTCTAAAGAAGTACTCGTCCACTGTTGCCACTATCTTCACGGGCATAGCATCTGCTTTGCTGTTTGGTCATAAATTGACTATGAACTTTGTTTTAGGAATTTCTATAGTCTTCATCTCGATGCACCAGGTAATCTTGATAAATGAGTTCTTTTCTTCACTTTAGTTAATAGCATGAAAATCTATTTTCACAAGAAAAAAATTGTATAATTTGGAGATAGCTTTCTTTCAATTTCTCTTTTGTTTTTCTGATGACATCATTTTCTGACCATTGTTCTTTTGTTTTTCTGTATAGTTCTTTTCTCCCATTTCGAAAGTCAAGGAGGAGGAACGAAATGGGAAGCTAGAAATGATAGATGTCGATGATAAACACAGGTATCTGCTCATTCTTCTTGCCCATTTGTCATATGGGGTAGTGGTGGGTGACGGCATCATTAGTTGGGAGTTGATGTAGAGATTACTGTGTTCATGTTGTATGCTTGACACAAACACCAAGCCAAGTATTAAATGTTTTACTGTTAGGCGCTAACAAGGGTAGGCCACTAAGGATAATGATTTTAAGAATTTTACGTACTTTCAATGTTTTGGCTTTTCTATAGCACATATAGTGTACATAAATCAACCAAAAAGAAATCAACTATGATTCTGGATGGGGATTTAGGTGACAGGCTAAAGGAGAAATTCATGGGGGGAAAATTAATTAATTTTTTCTACTTGTTTTCTTGATTCAGGTCAAAGGATTCCTTTATTAATATGGCAGCAGGGGCAAATGAAGAGGTTAGAATTGCAAATTACTGTCTTGTAAATATTATATGTTGATTTTATATTTGCCTCACTCTTTTCTTACAAATTTACCTTTTCCAGGCTAGTCATCGGGTGGGCCCTGATGAGAGACAGCCGCTTCTTCCGACCTAAAAGTTTTATGGAGTATGTTTTGCCCTTTAACTAGTTGTTGGATACATGCATCTGCTGCATATTTTACTTAACCATGTCGACCAACAAATTACCAACAAAAAGATGCATCGAACAGCAATTAACTGGACTAGTCTTTATGTTTGCAGCAATTAAATTAACTGTCATGTCCAGTACCCAGCTAAATAGATATTTGTTTTTCCCTGTCGGAAAGGCTAGAGTGTGCAAGTAATGTTTTACAAGACATGCGAGACATTATTTGGTTAGAGAAAATAAATATGTTGGAGCCTTCCTAAATGTCATTACTATCAGCCTGATATCTTCAATTGTAGCCAGCAGAGCTGGCGTTGTTCCGTGCATAATCAGACTTTGTTATTTTGATGCAGGATTCTTTTTTTCTTTTCTTTGAAGGAATTCTTTTGGCAGGAATTGAAATGATACGAGAGATTAAGCAAATCGAGATTCCTCAAACATTCAATAAATTTATCTGAGAAGAGATACTTTTCTACTGTTTTCCGGGGATCCCTTTTCCCGTGTCACGGGGTTTCCCTAAGTTGGCGTATAAAGCAGTTCATAAATGAATTCGGAGGATACACGGCGTTAGGTTATCCCAGCTTTTCGCTGCAGAAGATTGATAGAGAAAATAGTAATATGTTGTCAACAATTATTGGATTCCTACATGCACTTTACTTTAGCTTACCAATGTGATTTGTAATTGCATTCTTTGTATAATTTACCTTGGACCACATACACATTTCACCCCCAATGTCAACTTTTGAGTTTTTCTTTTTGTTTCACACTTTCTTGGGACACATTTTACCATGAAACATACCATTAGGTTGTCATCAGAACAAATTCGTCAACGCACGACGTCTCGGTTCATGCATTCTCATGTGTAAATTGTTCTACACATACCAATGCGTTATTGGTTTAGGACGTCATCGTGGCTGGAAACCCGTTTTATGTAATTTTCTTCCTATAAGAGAAGCAAAAATTGATCAAATATGGTTCACGTAATTCACCAAATTCTGGTTTGATTAAGAACCAGCAAATAAGGTGACGGTTGACCCTCGCTTTCAAGGTTTTAGCATCAATTCCTTTGCAGTCTTGGCTAATTTGCCTCATTTCAATTTGAGAATACAATTACTTTTGGTCACCATTGCTCGTCTCAACTCGATCTTGGGATCCGTAATGAACTACAAGCAAACACTTCAATAAACAAATGGTTGTTCGGTTACGTGCGGCCGTTAGGTCACCTACTTTGAGTTATGGACACACAAGGCCAAAACATGTGTGCCGGGCGTGCGATCCATTGTAACAAAAATTTGTCCGAGTAAGCTTGAAATCACCCTATCGTATTAGATCAACGTACAAGAATGTCAAATACTGCATCTCACGTACCAAGAGGAAAGCAGGCGAGCCCAAAGCCATATCTACAGGAAATCTTCAGTGTTCAAGCATTTTCCTGCATTCCCCTTGCCAAAACGCAAGAGACCATCTACCGTAACATATCGACTTTAGATGCAAGAAGAGATGCATCTTCCAACTTCACCTATGAAAAGTGAGGAAAATGTTACACAAATGACAAACATTAACTATCGAGGAACTAAGGAGGGCGAATTTCTAATAGGAACAAGCATTAACTGTCAAATCTATAATTAAATGCAAGGTTCTAAAAGTCTAGGCCTAGTCAGGCAGTAGGCTGGGGTCTAGCGCCTAGGCGGATTTAAATATATTTATTATATATCGTATACAAAAGTGCCTATTTACACTTAAAAATTATATAATTGTATTGGAATACAGAAATCGTAAAATAAAATGACATATAAATTATAAAATATTGAAAACATGGGGAACAAGCATGTAATAAGTGTTCGTTCAAGTATTCAACAAGTCTCTTACATTTTATTGAATAAAATAAAATGAAAAATGAAAGTTATCGATTTTCTGTCTAAGTGAGAGTTGCGACCTAGGTGGGTGCCTGGGCGGGGTCAGGCGGACGCATAGGCAGATCTATGTGTCATTTCATAATTTTCAAATGCCTAGGGATTAATTGGGATGGTGGCTAGTCGTCTAGCGCCGTCTGAGGATTTTAGAACAGTGAATAAATGTAAGAGAGGGAGCAAAAGGATACACAAACTAAGATATGCCTAGTAGTCCAAGAAATTCAAAAAAGAGGTGGAAATCCTATTTTGTGAAAACCTGCTTGGCAAGAGCATATAGAGTAATAAATCGAGTCTTTTTTTTTTCTTGAATCATTATATGAACTAGAGTTAAGCACGAAGAAAAACTAGTGAGTCTTCGGGATTTTTTATGGGAAGTGTTATTAGAACTCCTAAAATCTCATCTTACACTTCTTACTAGTGTATTTTTCTTTCTAATTATAGAAAGTTTGGAGTGCAAAATGAGATTTTTGAAGGGCCAATAACAATTTCCTTTCCTATAGGCAAACTTTTTACGCGAGTTTGTTGACCCATTTCAAGTTGTGCTTCTTGATTGCCCCCTAAATTTTTCATGGGCCTCATGGGCATGCCGGGAATTTACTCAAATAGGGAACTGGGGGGTGCGAGCGTGCCACTACTAGATGTTGCTAGTAGATGGGTTTTGAATGATTGAAGTTATGCCTGAGTTCGACTTCTAACCAAGAGATTGTGCCATTGAGTGGGAGTGGCTTAAATCAAGGTTCTTTCTTTGCCCTAAAGATAAGGACTTTAATTATATGGAGAAATGTAACAACAACTAAATGACAAGGTTGCTGGAAGTGTGATGACCGAGGAAAGTAAATGACTGGAAATGAGTTGTATAGAAATGTATTTATTTAAAGTACAAAGCATTCTAAGTACAAAGGGATGCCAAATACAAGGTTCGAGCTTGTTCTCGAGGGATCGGGCAATTTGCTCTAGTCTTGTGACAATTTCTGGTGGTTTGGGGAATGACTTTGAGGGTTATAAATAAAACTACAAATGAGATCGATACTACTAATGAGCAACAAAACTAATAAACAAGGAAAGTAAGGGATGCTTGGCTAAAGCTAAATGTCTACAAGGAGATTGATGAGCTGATTTGATCGTTTGTTTGCGTGTCCCTATTCCTTGTGCCTTTACTTCTTTATATAGAGATCTGAGAGAACCCCTTGATGGGAACATTGAACCTGCCTGAATGCACTTCACTGCCAGCTTGCATTGTGAAATAATATTAAAATAAGCAAGTTTGTATCTCCATCGCATGCTTCCACCACATGTCTATTCCTCACTTGCAATAAAATAATTAAAAGAAGCAAGCTAGCTTCTTTCACCACATATCATTGCCCGAAAGTTCTCATATTGCATTCTCATCCACTTACAAAAAGGCATGCATTTGTCTTGATTAAACAAAGTTCTTGGTACACCTCCACCACCAAAACAAAAGGGAAAAACAATATTATAATGTCAAACTATCCTACTTACAGCCAAATATCTTTCCAAGTTAGCCTTCTTGAACAATAGTCCTCCAAATGCCATATTTAACCCGAATAGCCCAAATGAGTAAAACTGGGTACATTTTAGGTGCAAACAGAAGCTCCCCAAGTTTTACAAATTTGAGCAAAGTTTGTGAAACTTACGGCTCCAATATGCTCTTCCAAAAGATTGATGATATAGTAGGCATAAGAGACATTGAGCATGAAGAACACCTGGAGAAGCCTCGCCACTAAGCAATATTTTCTCTTGTAGAAAATGGGAATATTTGAAATTCCATCATGATAATAAAGTCACAATGAGTGGAAGCCCTTCCACGTACTGATCACAAAGGGCAACTTTGTTTGCTATGTCTTTCCAATAGTCTTGGTGGCTCCAGTGCTGCCAGGAATGATGTTGAAGGAAGAGGCACGTCTACCTTTTTTGTCCTTTGGTCGTTGATAAACTTGGCAAGGCCAGGAAGGCAATTGGTAGTGTAACTAGCATTGGAAAGAATATTGTTGTCTAGCTTGTATTCCTTCTTGTTGATACCAACAAAAAACAATGGAAGTATCTTTGTTGGTTGCAAAGGCGATAAACTGGAAAAATGCCTGAAGTCGGGCAAACTGGAAAACATAAAGAAAGGGGGAAAAAGAGAAGAAAAGAGAAAAAGAAATAGAAAGAGGGAGAAGAGAGACTTCGGGCAACTTTTCTTTTCTTTGTTATCTCTTTTCATATAATATATATATATATATATATATATATATATATATATATAGGGAATTGCTATTTGCACTTCAAATTGCTCATTCTACACTTTAAACTTTTTATATTTAGAAAGAAAGATACACTTACGAGAAGTGTAGAATGAGATTTTTGAAGTGTCAATAACACTTTCCTATATATATAGCTCTTTCGGGCAATGTGAAAGGCATTGAGGGAGAGATAGGAAGAAAGAGAAAACAAGGAAAAGAAAGAAAAAGAAAGAGAAAGAAATAATAAGAAAGAAAAAGAAAAGAGGGTTCTCCCTCTTTCGGGCCAAAGGTAACAAAAGAGATAAGGAAAAGGAAAAGAGAGAGTAAGAGAAAGAAATAATAAAAAAGAAAAAGGAAAAGAGAGAGAAAGAGAAAGAAATAATAAAAAAGAAAAAGAAAGAGAAATAATAAAAAAGAAAAACCCCATTTCGGTGATCTGTCTCCCTCCATTTCCCACTTCTTTCGATATCAGATCTCTCATCTGTCAACTTCAATGGCTTCCCTCCCTCAAGCTTCTATTGCCATTTCCACCTCTTTTAAGCCCGCTCTGGCACCCAGCAGCAGGAGCTCTGGTTTGAAATCAGTTTCTTTTTCCATCACTGGAAAGCTCTTTCCACCCATCAGTTCCTGATCTGGGCACTTCCAAGTTTCTTATGCAGCCAAACGAGAGACTATCACCAAGGTGTGTGGCTTATAGTGAAGAAGCAGCTGGCCTTAACTGAAGATATCAATGTGTTTGCTGGCTCAAAATTTGCAGAACTTGGCGCCGATTCTCTTGTGAAAGTCCTAGGATGGGTACTAACTTAACTAGAATTATAAATAAATTCCAACTTAAAATTAGTTCAAATTGTGATTTATGTTAATCAGTTATGCATCTTTAATCCTACACAAAATATCCAGCATAAATATAAAGAGTACACAACTGATGTAGGATTTTACGAGGCAAAACCCACCACTGGGAAAATCCTCGGGCTACCAAGCCAGGAAGCACTAAGAAAGAAGGAATACATAAAGACTTACAAAAAACTCATCAACCAGACACACATACCAGTTGGCAGCTTTGTATTCGCGCTTTGCTACTCGATCTTTCTTCAGTCTTCGAGTTGGAGTGGCATGACACTAACTCGATCGTCAATCACTTTTTCCTCGAATTTTGCAAGATACTAACTCGATCATGCAGAATGTTTATATGATGAAGTGTTTGGTTGAAAAATCAATCAATTACGAAAATCACAAGGCATATTTTCATAATTGACATTCAATAAAAAACCAAATGAAAATCAGCATGAAAATAATATTTTCCCGTTAAAAACACATGCTATTCAAACCACAAGATGGCAGCCACTGAAAAGTTAATTTTAGATTAATGCACTGAAGGTAATGTTTTCTCTTTTAAAAACCAAAGTTGCTGCCAATCTTGTTCCCAAAAAAATCATGCATATGCGGCACCTTGAAAACAATTTCAAAGCTTCCTTATAAATCCTCAATGCACGGGAACCAATTTAAACTGATAAGATTTCATAACTAAAACCGGTTTTAGCTAAATTGACAAACCTTTTAAAACCACAACTCCTAGACACACACGGCAACAACTTTTTCTTTTTAAAA